ATAGCTAGCAATGAAAAAGAACAAATAAAACATTTAAATAAATTACAAAAACATGAACGTATAGTTCGGAATGAATTTAATAAATTAAATGAACATATGAAAACATTATTAAATTATGTTGAAAATGAAAAACAAAATTATCAACAAGCAATGACTAAAGTTGATAATTTACAATTACAACTTGAAAAAATATGTGTTGAACGATCAAAAACTGAAGTAAGATAATGAATTAGATCAAAAATATTTTTCATTTTTTTTTTATTTAATTTAGTTTGAAATTCAAACATTAAAAGAAGAAGTTAAATTAATGCAAACAACAAAAGAATTTCTTGATGATGAACGTGAAACAATAATAGCAACACAAACTGAAGCTAATGAATATTTATTATCACGTTTAAGTGAATCAATTAATCGTATACGTGAAGATTTTGATGAACTTAATCGTACTCAAGTCAAACAAATTGAAAGTGAATATCAACAAATGTTACAGATGCTTGAAGAAAATTTTATAATGAGCGAAACAACTGAAGAAACAACAACATCAACAGCAACTCAAATTGATCGTGAATCTCTTCAAGAAGAACATCAGTTGGTATTAAGAGAATTAAAAACACTTAATAATCATAATCAAACATTATCTGAACGAGTTTTTGCAATGGTATGTAGAAAAAGAAAAGTTGTTTTCTTTTAATTGTTTTTGGGGAAATTATTTTAGGAAGCTGATCTATATTCAATACGTGATGAACGTACGCAAGAATTAATGTTAAAAGATAATGAAGTAGAACGTAGTAAAATTGAATTACAAACATTAAATGAAAAATTAAATAATTTAGCGGAATATGATCGAAATTTAAAATTTGAATTAACACTTTATCGTGGTGTTTTAGAAAGTGAATATAGACGAAAACAACAACAAAAACAGAAACTATCATCAATTAGTACTATTCATTTAATGAGACCAACAACATTACGAAGCAATAATAATACGATGTCAGGTGAGACCAGAAATATCACTGAATAAATATAGAAGCACTCAACGCAATTAACTTTCATTATTTGAACAAATAGTTTGAGTTTGACAAATTTTGTAACAAACATCGATTCTCTTCTTTTTTTTCTACTTTTTTTTATTTCATTTCACCTACTGTGCATTGTGTCTGTGTATGTGCACCTATATGTAGAAGACAGTTATTTGCACTGAATTGCAATTTAATGTAGACGTATGTGAGACTTCTATATTTGTTCGATCTGAAGGCTAGAGAATGAAAGAAGCCAATTAGATGATAACTGTCATTTAGTATAATAAATTGAGTTAAATTTTTGTTGCTTTCTTTTCATTTGAAAAAAATATTGATTTACACAGATCAAACAACATGGTTGACAAGTAGTACACATCAGACAAAATTGAATAATCAACAACAGGAGGTATGAAAAAATAAAATAGTATAAAATCCATATTTAAATTTTCTCTCTATTTTTTCATTTTATAGATTATACAAACTCGTAATCGAATTCCATCCGATTATGATCTACTTGATGACGCTTTAAATACTCACATTCATGATGTTTTATTAGCAAACATTACTCCTGATAATCAAAAATTAGAAAGTGAACCCAGTTTACGACAACAGTTACATGAACCACTTATTTCAGATCTACAACATGATACAACAAATGTTACAAATATCACACAAGATGCTACAAAACAACACTCTTCTTCAACTACTGCTTTTGAAGAAGATCAATTATCTCCACAATTGGAAGTACAACCATCAGTATCATCATCACGTACTTCTTCAACGAGTGCCCCAATCCGACAGTCTTCTACTTCATCTACTCCTTCGACAGAACTAAAAGACCAGTTAGTATCTTCAGAACCTCAACAGTCATCTATTACTGCAACTGAATCTCAAGCACGAAAGACAAGTTCCCCATCATCTCCACCATTAACAGCAGTCCGTATACTACCATCTTTATTTGGTGTTCTTCAACCAAATACACCTACTTCATCAGATTATCAATCAACATCACGTAAATCGTCAACGAATTCAGCAGTAGCATCTGACACGCAAAGACGTCCATCTACAACTAATATTACAACAACTTCAGAACAACAACCATCATCACGCAAATCTTCAGCAGTACCATCTGATACTGAGAGACGCTCATCTACAGCCGACAAATCAATAACTGCTGAACAACAACCACTATTATCTGGTGCCAGGCAATCGCCTCCAACTACACCAGAAGAGCGCGCATCATCGTCACGTCAATCGTCTATTAGTTCAACGGTACCATCTGATGCTCAACGACGTCCGTCTACAACTAATATTGCAACGACCTCAGAACAACAGCCATCATCAAGAAAATCTTCAGCGGTACCATCTGATACTGAGAGACGCTCATCGACAGTCAACAATTTAACAACTGCCGAACAACAACCGTCATCATCTGGTGTGAGAGAATCACCTCCAACTTCACCAGAAGAACGTGCATCACCATCACGTAAATCTTCAATTAGTTCAGCAGTACCATCTGATGTTCAAAGACGTCCATCTACAACCAATATTACAACAACGTCAGAACAACAGCCATCATCACGTAAATCTTCAATTAGTTCAGCAGTACCATCTGATGCTCAAAGACGTCCATCTACAACTAATATTACAACAATTTCAGAACAACAACCATCATCACGTAAATCTTCTGCAGTACCATCTGATACTGAGAGACGCTTATCTACAGTCGAAAACTTAACAACTGCCGAACAACAACCAGCATCATCCGGTGTCCGACAATCACCTCCGACTACACCAGAAGAGCGTGCAGTATCGTCACGTAAATCTTCAGTTGGTTCAGCAGCACCATCTGATGCTCAAAGACGTCAATCTACAACTAATATTACAACAACTTCAGAACAACAACCATCATCACGAAAATCTTCAGCAGTACCATCTGATACCGAAAGACGCTCATCTACAGTCGACAATACAACAGCTGCCGAACAGCAACCGTCATCATCTGGTGTGAGAGAATCACCTCCAACTGCACCAGAAGAGCGTACATCATCATCACGTAAATCTTCAGTTGGTTCAGCAGCGCCATCTGATGCTCAAAGACGACCATCAACAACTAATATTACAACAACGTCAGAACAACAACCATCATCACGAAAATCTTCAGCCGTATCATCTGATACTGAGAGACGCTCATCTACCGCCGACAACTCAATAACTGCCGAACAACAGCCGTCATCATCTGGTGTGACAGAATCACCTCCAACTTCGCCAGAAGAGCGTGCGTCATCATCACGTAAATCATCTACTAGTTCAGCAGTACCATCTGGAACTGAGAGACGATCCTCAACTGTCAATAATGTGATAACTGCAGAACATCAATCACCAACTTCTGAAGTGCAACAATCACTATCAAGTCCATTACAAGTAGTTCAACCGTCATCACGTACCTCTTCGATAAGTTCACCTGTAGCATCTGACACTCAAAGACGCCAATCTACAGCCAATATCGCAACAACTTCAGAAGAGCAACCATCATTACGCAGATTCTCAACAGCACCGTCTGGCACTTTAAGACGCTCTTCTACAACCGATAATTCATTAATTTCACAACCAGAGCAACTAACTGCACAAGTCCTACAATCTTCATCAACTCAATCACAACAACATCAACCATCATCACGAACATCTTCAATCGATGTAACAAGTCCATCTGACACTCACAGACGCTCTTCTACAGTTGACAACTCAACAACTTTAGAGAAACAGCGAACATCATCTGGTGTTGAACAATCACCTCGAACTCCATCAGAAGAGCGTGCATCATCATCACGTCAATCATCCATTAGTTCGACGGTACCATCTGATGCTCAAAGACGCTCTTCTACAGCGGACACTACAGTAACTCAACAACAATCACCAACTTCTGATATACGGCAACCATCTTCAGTTTCATCACAAGAATATCAACCGTCATCGCGGACAGCTTCGATAAGTTCAGTTCTCGCATCTGATAATGAAAGACGTCCATCTACAACATCCAATATTGCAACAACTTCAGAACAACAACCATCATCACGTAAAACTTCAACCGCATCGGGAGTACCATCTGATACTCAACGACACCCTTCAGTATCGGATACACAAACAATTTCAGAACAACAAACATCAACGTCTGATGTTCCACGATCATCATCATCATCAAGTCCACCTAAAGAAGATCAACCATCATCACGTAAATCTTCGATCGGTGCAATTGGATCTTTTGATGCTCAAGGACGTTCCTCACTGATCAATAATGGAGCAACTATAGAATATGAATCAGGAACTTTTGAAACGGAACAACCACTCTCAAGTACATCAGAAGATCATAAACCCTCATCACGTAAATCATCAGTTGGTTCAGCAGTACCATCTGATGCTCAAAGACATCCATCGACAACCAGTATTACAACGGCTTCTGAACAAGAACCATCATCACGAAAATCTTCAACAGTACCATCGAATATTGAACGACATTCATCTATAACAGACAGTTCAACAATCCCAGAACAACAGCCACTATCGTCTAGTGCTGGACAATCAGGACGTAGTTCATCGGTGAGCTCGACAAGTGCATTGGAGACTCAAAGACGTCCATCTACATCCAATACTGCAATAAGTCCAAAACAGCAACCATCATCCCGTAAATCTTCAACAGTCGACAACTCAACAGTTCCACAACAACAATCACTATCTACAGATGATTATCAGCCAGTTTTAACTGCATCACAAGAACATCAAACATTATCGCGTAAATCTTCAACTGGTTCGGCAGTACCAACTGACAATCAACTACGTGCATCTGAAGCCGATACTGGAAAGTATTTAGAACAGCAAACACCATCTTCTGATAACCAGCAATCATCATCATCATCTCCATCTTCAGAATATCAACCGTCATCAAGAACATCTTCCGGTGGTTCATTATTAACATCTGACACTCAAAGACGACTATCTACAACGAATACTGCAACATTACCAGAACCTCATGTATTAACACGTGAAGGTTCTACAGTGTTACCAGATGTTCAAAGACGCTCTTCTACAGCTAGTAGTTCAACAGTACAAGAACAGGAACGACCAACTTCTGAAGCGAATGCATTACCATCAGCTCCACGACAAGAACATCACTCATCGACAAGCTCAAATGTATCAACTGAAACTGCACGACGACCATCTACAGTCGATACCACAACAGATCCAAACCGTTATTCATCATCACGAAAATCTTCAGTAGTATCATCTGATATTCAACGACGCCCTTCTACCAGTAGTTCTTCAATAGTTTCAGAACGTGAACTTTCATTACATACGTCTCCAGTGGGTTCAACAGTACCATCTAACATACGCACACCAGTTACCTCGGAGACACCTGGAACATCAGTAGAAGATCATCCATCAAGTGATACTGCTAATCAATCGTTTTCAACATCACGTGGAGAACATACAACATTGTTAGAAGGTGAGAATTTTTCTCACACACCTATTTTAACATCAAATGCTGATGCTCAAGGAAAAACATTACCAAGTGCTGCTGATAATACTCAAACAGTCATGTCTACAAGTAAGTTAATGTTCATATAAATAGTAATAAATCTTTAGAATTATAACAAGAGAAATAGATAGTAGTTGAAGTAACTGAATCAAATGAAACCTTTCTTTGTGATCTGTCTGATGTAATATAGAGTATTATTTTTCATTTAGCCAATCAGGTTGGTGAAAAAAATGATACGAATCAATCGAAAGAATCAGTAGCATATGCTACTGATGAACAAACATCTAGTGAAACGGATCGTAGAGAACGTCATCCATCTACTCATTCCGTCGAACAATCATTAACAGAAGAATATGAAGTTTCATATGATACTGATGGTAAAAGGTCACATTTATCATCATTCAATTTAATTAGTACGCCTCAAGAAGAAAGAAAACAAAGTCTTTCACAGTCAGAGGCAAATAAAACTTTGGCTCAAACTGATTCATCAGATCAAATCAAAAGAGAAGAAGATAAAGATTCTTCTCTTAGAAATACTACAGAGGAGAATAATCTTACTGATTATAGCTCCTCAACAATTACAAATGATTATCCTCATCATCATGATAATTTACATGATACAAATCCTTTCCCACTATCAGAAAAAAATAAACAATCATCTCCTAATTCATCATTAACTGATGTTGAAGGTAATCGAAACTAAACTAGAATTTTTCAAATTTACATGACATACTTTCTATTTTAGATGTAGATCCATCAGTTTCTGAGAAATCTGAAGCACGAATCGATGATGTTGATGATCCTAATTTAGCAATTATTATGCAAGGTTAGTGAAACAGCTGATTCAATTTTTTTTATAATCAGAATACTTTCTTATGAATCTTAATATTATTTATTTATTTATTATAGATCTTCGTTATGTATTTCATGAAATAGCTAATGATGAAGATTTAGTTGAAATAGATAAGGATTTACCGGATAAATTACTTGATCGTCTTGAATTTCGTGATCATATTATACGAACATTATTCGATAGTTTATTAAGAAAATATCTTGTACAAGCAGCTGCTCAAAGAAGTAAATTAAAACTATTCAAATTTTTAATAATAAATGGAATTTTCTTTTCTAAAAAATAGATCGTTCTGAAACTCTTGATTGGGTAGAATTTCGTGATATACTCTTTCCGATGATATCTGGTCGTTATACTGAACAACATATTCGAAAATTATTTGATTTATTTGATACAAGTGGAGATGGTCATTTATCAGTACAAGAAATAGCCGGTAACAATATTAAATCATATTTGTGCTATAATATAAATATACAAGAATTTCTATTTAGAATTACTTGAAGTTCTTCAAGCTAGTGATACAATTTGTCTTGCACAGAATATCGTTGAAGTATATGATACAGATCATGATGGAAAATTGAGCGTTGATGGTATAGATTAAATGAAAATACTCTTTTTTTTAATACTATTTCTTTGCTTTTATAGAATTAATCGAAGCTATTAAAAAAACAGATGATATTAACGAACATGTTTTGTCAGATGAAACAGAAAATCAACAATGGTTTAATCAATCACCAACAGAAAACCAAACAATAACATTCGAAGTACCAATTATTACTTATCCACCCAGAATCGAAGATAAATTAAATACTAGTATATCACGTAAGAAAATTTGTCAAGTTTTATTTATAAAAAATATCCATTCTCTTTTTTTCTATATTTCTGATAGTACTTGGTAGAATATTTAAAAAATTAAGTGCTAATTCCGAAAATAAACAATTGGATAGTAATAAGAAAAATTTATCAATTGAAATGGCAGTTGAATTTATCAATAACAATATAAATATACCAATTAATGATTTACAATTATTTATTCAATCATTCCTGATTAAAAAACATAATACAGGTTTGAAAGAAACTCTTTTTTTATAGTAAAATAAATCTGTATTTTAATTTAGATTCATTTATAAATTGGATTGAATTTCGAGATATATTTTTACCAATTATAACCAATGGATTATATACTAAACAGAGTATTCAACAATGGTTTGATATATTTGATACAAATCGAAATGGAATAATTACACAAGAACAGTTTGAATAAATAATTTTCAGTTTTATCTTTAAAAAACAAAATATTTTTTTCTATTCTAGAGTTATTCATCTGCTTCGTTTATTACAAATACAAAATCCCGAAAATATTATCATTAAATTAAATGAAATTATAGAAGCACATGCAGTTAATGCTACTTCATGGACATTTGACGGTAAAGAAAATTCAATATTTCTACACTCAAATAAAATATTTCTTTGTTTAGAATTAATAGTAGCATTGGAGATTGTTAATGAAACTTCAACTCATCTTCTTACGAATATAGAACAAATATCTTCATTTGACAATGATTGGCTTTCGAATAACATATTTTAAATATCTATTTTTATCTGATTTATATACTAATCTTCTATTCGTAGTTGTAGTATCGCTTTTTATATTTTAACCCTGTGATTATTTTTCTTTTTCTTTCGGCTTATTATTAGTATATACAATATTTTGTATAATGCAAATGAATCACTGCTTATAAACAAAAACAAACATTTAGATTTGCAAATTTTAATTAATTTTGTTTTCATTCTTTTAATAAATACAGAACAGACAAATAAAAACCAGTTTTTAATACACGTTTGTTTTTACCTTGTAAAAAAATATTATATACATTTGTATCACACAGGTAAATAAAAAATTTATCGCATCGAAGTTTGTTCGTTTCTTCCCTTCATTATTGATATTCAGCCGTCGTTGCAAGGTGTGTTTCGCTTTTAATTATATATTTCGTCACCGAGATTGACTATTAACATCATTAGATTGCGATTGAGATTGCACGTTTGAGTTGTTATTAGTAGTATTTACTGTATACTCTAGACCAGTTGTGTTATTAGTCTATTCAAAGAAAAAAACAAAATTTCAAATAATTTTTGACTAATATATATTTACCTGTACATCACCATTTATATACATCATAGTAGCGGCAACTAATATTCGAAAAAGAAAAAGAAATTAACTAAAATAAAAGATAAAATGAACTTACTATCAGATTCAGCTGGATTGAACATTGGATTAAAAATACTTTATTGTATATAAATGCTAGTAATTTAACTTTATAATAAATATTTTTTGTATAACTAACTATCTATTTATATGGTTGATTTTACATGATTTTAAAAAATCAAAGGAAGAATAAAATTATTTCGTCATAGCATGACGTTTATTTGGGGATATTTCCAAGATAACCTACATATTTGTTTAAAATATATCACGATCAAAATATTCAGTGGGTGGGAAAGAGATAATATGACGAACTGATGCTAACATTTTTAGAACAATTAATAAGAATTAAATAATTCTTTCAAATATTTTATCTTATTGAATCACGGTCTTTAATTAATATTTGACATGGAAAAAAAATAAGATATACGTTAAAGACCTCTAATAAAATTGACTTCGCATTGTTGATTTACCAAAACATGTGCAAAGTAATGAATAGATTCGAATAATATCAATGATTTTCTAGTGCTTATCTAATAAATAAGAGTAAAAAGAAAATTTAATGAAGAAATACGCGATATAAATAACCCATATATATCATAAAATAATCGGACTAGACTCTGTGAATTAAAGTCATTTGACTTCAGCTGTTAAATGACAGAGACTGACTTTCGCGGAAAGAAAACGAATAGATAAACCTATCCGTTTATAATACATTTAATTTTATAAAGGAAAATTCCATTTTTAAAAACCAAATATGATACAGAAGGTATGATTAAGTTGTTTGAATCATTTTTATAACTTCATAAAAATGATTACCAAAGAGAAATTTCAACTTTATATATTTTACCTTTTTTGATCCATAGAATATTAAAAATATATTCTAACATCTTAATCCGATAGACGTTTCACAACTGATTTTACTCATTGAGCTTTATATATATGTTCTATTCATTTACTAATATTTGTCTCGTAAATATCAAAAGTACAATAGAATATCTTGTTTAAATATTTATTTAAAATAGATAATCCAAAGCAAAATAAAAGTACAAGGCAGAAAACATAAAAGAATAAATAATGGTATATAAGCAATCAGTTAAAAAATAAAAATTATGCTCATATTAGATATAGATATGAATACTGTTCATTTATTGCTTTTTTTTATTCATTCGGTATATTTGATATAATATATAAATGCAACATGTCGATAATCATCTTAATAAATTTGTCAAGATGATGTACCATTTTTTGTGATGTTATTTTCATTTTTGTACAGAACCAGTCTAAAAATATAAATACTTATAATTTTACGAATGAAGCTAAATGATAATTTCATACTTGACTCTGGCTCTCCAAGTAAAGCTGCGCTGCTATTGCTAAAAAACAACAATTGGAATTATAGATAGATAAAATGAATAATCAATGGTTCTTACCATCATCTATTTCTGGTTGGAACATTTTTCTATTGATGATTGAAGATATGAATTGTATATAAAATGTCTTTGTGCAGACTTGTTATAGATATTTATTAAATTTTAATGTGTATATCGACGGAGAATACGGATATATATATGCCATCGTATGCGACATATAATAACGTGATACTTCGTGATTTTTCAAAGCGGAAGCAATAAAATATGATATACCTCTTGGAAAAAATACAAGAAGTATATAATATTGTTCTGATAAATCAGAAATCATGCATTTGATTAACGTCACCACTCCAACGTAAAATGCGTGAGAGAACCATTGTGTCTGCGGGTTCTCTTTCTTTAACGATAAATGATTTCAACTAAGCTACCTGTCTATAATAACGTAGGCGTCGACCTTCTAGTATGTAAATTTGTTTTATTCTAAATATATCATATTTGGATAAGAAACCTATGTTTATTATTCCCTATTTATAAAAACATAGTAAACATTGATGTTAATCATATTTCTAAAGGTACAAACTAGTGTATTTATGTAATTAAAAACAAAAAGTAACTAATATAGAAAAGATTTTACTATTATAGCGTATAATCTTTAAATTAAAGATATTTCATTAGATTTTAAAAAAACACAAGTTTGAATAAGTTTGTTTATATTTTAGTTCATTTATCACGACAAAAATAAATCATATATATATTCTAATAAGATATTTGTATAGTCGAAGAAATCAACTGTTTAAATCATGAAATACCAATAAATTTTGAAGTGGATGAATAATATAGAAATATGATATATATTAAAATAAATCAGGTTTTAATTAATATGTGAAAAATGTATTACCCTATTTCTTTTCTGAATAACAGTCTTATTTCTAATCGGATCATTCGTAAAATTACAATGGATATTTTTGTAAATAAATATTGTATTAAAGAATTATCAGATTAAATACAGATGAATTTACGATATTTACAGCATTTGAATGACGTACAAATGATTTATATCATTCAAAATAAATCATAATCTTAAGAATTGATATATAATATTAAATATATGATGAAAATATTCATATTGACAATTTCTTGTTTTTATTCAATCTGTTAAATAGAATAGTATGGAGTTCAAAAAAACAACATATATACTAATAGATCTAAATAGTTGAAATAGGAATTATTTATAACAATATTATTCATTATTCTAACTAAGTCAACATTAGCATGATATAATTTTGATAATTTGCATAAACGTGTAAATCAAGGTTAAATAACATATATATATTCTATGTGTTCGGAAATTAGTTTTTTTCTTCTGGAAGTTTTCTAATACTTCTGTTATTTGCAATAATGTAATCATTTTTTAAAGAATATGGTAATTTTTTTCTTCAGCAGGTACATAGCTTTGTGCAAAGAATAATATTAGCCGATAAACGACGAGTACTATAGATAAAACTCACAAGAAAAATAATCTGTATAAATTTGATTACCAAACAATTAATAGGATAAGTAAAATACTTTTCTCCATGTAAAGACGCATAAAAAAACGGTATGGTTATAGAATTTAGTATTAAATCAATTAAAAAAGCTATAGATATATGCTCATATAGCATATCATTTCGTATTGATTACAATTTTATAAAAAAAACCTTGAAATGTCTAGTTTTTTTGTCTATGTAAAAGAATCAATTAGAGTCAATTACTATATTTTCTAACTGTTGAATACTTTTATTCTTTTCTATACAAACTTTTTTTTCTGATTTCTCTAAGGACAAGGTGACCTGGATTTTTTTTTTCATTTTCAGTACAAGTGTTGTGACAATTTACATAAATGTCGAAAAATTTTTTTTTGTATATCTCAGTTTTTTGCGTAGGTATCGTTGTTTACTTTCTTTGAATTAATCTTTTTTTTTTAATATTAACGTGTTTCATTCAAATTAGAAGATATTTTTATCAAACCAATTATAAATTTAAACAAGAGGATAATAAGTATTATGATACTATAAAAAGATATTCTCATTAGAATAGATTCATTTCGTTGTGAAATTGACATATTAATAAAATATGTTAGTTTCATAGAGTAGATTTTTTCTTTTGTAATTAGCTATTCTTTATATATATGTAAGAGAAAATTGACATAGCAGGAAAAGGTGATAGACTTTATCGATAATAAGTATGTGTCATTTGTGACATCATCACATCTTTCAAGTGTTAAAAAAA